GGTCAAGGGAAAATACATAGTTGTCAAAAACAAGACCAGAGGATAGTCCACAAGATGACCAAATAAAACTATAAAAAGTCAACAAAATTAATGGTTTCTATATGTATGATAGTGAGATGTGCTACAGGTTGTAACACATCCGACATTGATGTATAAAAGATCCATATGAAGGAGAACACATTAAACCAAGTAGATGAACCTTCAACAAGAAATGTGTGAGGCGGGCCAAGGGGCAACACATCGATAACACAATTGACATACATTAACATATTTTAAGCAAGCACGAACTCACACATACAGATCATCAAGGAATTACTGCTATACTGAATTCCCAAGCAAAAGCAATTTTGTGCAACAGTTAAAAGCCAAGCGAGCTGTAAGATGATAATAAACTTTCTTCCCCTTCTCTTCAAAACTATTTCAAAAAGAAGGAAAAACATATCTTGAACCAAATATATTTGAGAAGAAAAATCCAGTCATTGATTTATAAATTCAAGCAAAAAACTCAGCTAGAGATGTACATAAACACCATAAACCCCATCCGTGGTCCCAACCTACAATCAACAAAGCCATAGTCATCACATAGTCTGTAGCTGTCCAGAACGTTCTCCAAAATCATTTAGCAGGTGTTTAAACATCATTTATCCTCTTCACAACAATTTATGTCTACTGGATTCCACTTACAAGTCTCAAGGCATGAAGCATAAATGTTATTTGCATGCAATATATAAAACACAACAACAATGGACTAATGTCCCAAAAAAGCGAAACAAGGTTTGGATTAATTAGCCAATTTAGTAAAAGCTTAAACAGCACATAAAATTAAGTCACAAGAAAACAGACACATTAGGTTATTATTACACCATCACTACGACATAGTTTTCATCCAAAAGGCCAACAGGACAACAGTCTAAAATACTTTCAGTTCTTTTAAGGCCAAAATAGATGTCAAGTATTATTACACCATCACTACAACATAATTTTCATCCAAAAAGGCCAACAGGACAACAGTCTAAAATACTTTCAGTTCTTTTAAGCCCAAAATAGATGTCAAGTACAATCAACAGAAAATAATTATCATATGGGTCTTCTTTTTCTTCTTTTTTCTCCTCCTCCTACTACCTCCGGGGGAGTTCGGGTGAGGAAAGGACAAGAAACTGTTTTAGTTATTGTTAGGCAGCATCCTTACGAGGCTCTACTTGACTAGCAACTCTTTACACAAATGTCAATGTTGGCAACTCTTTGCACAGACAAGATCCTAGGAGGAAAACGCACCAACTCAATCATCTTACAGTATTCCAAAAAAAAAAAGATCAATGTGAAGCATGCGAGCTAAATAAAATGCATATGTGATAGCAGAGGGTCAAAATAGCTTATTAAAAAGTAAAGTGTCTGCTAAAATGTGTAGGACAATAACTAAACCGAAGCACAATTCATGATCGCCAACTTATGAAGTCACGTTGAAGTTTATTATCTTTTTAAAGTAGATGCTAAAAAACCAGCTCAATAAGTGAGTAGAAGGATCATACTTATAACTTGGTTTTGGCCATTTCTTTTTGTCACAAAACTCATGTAACTTTTGTTTTGCTCCTTCAATATCATTTGTTCCATTTAAGTCAACATAAAGGTCTAAAGCCATTTTGTCGTTGGTTGTGGGATATGACAACTTCTTCAAAGCTGCCTTCGCTGCATGAAGCTTTGCATTTTCTTTCTGTTCTGAGCAACCCGAGGCGATAAATGTCCCATCGACGTAAACACTAGCAATGTTTTTCTCCCCTTTCCTCCAATGCCTTATATCAACCTGCTTTCCATCCTTTTGGCATAGCTCAAAAAGCATTGTCACAGGTTGCGGTTGTTGCTGGAGTACATCAAGTGTCACGATGGGTTCTAATAAATCTCTGAAAATCTGAATCAAGCAAAAATAGATCGATGCTTATCAAAAAAATGAAGCAAAAGTAAACTAAAAATCATGATTCACAAATTGAAGTTTGTTCTGAAGAACATTCCAAAACCAACCCTCCCCTTGAATTGCCAAGATTTTGGATGATTATGGACAGAACAAAATTTCTGCAATTTCTGATTATTCAAGTAACATTCAGCCAAACATGCAACTAATCGTCATAAATCCAAGCTACAAAAACAAATCTCAAGAAAAAAGAAATCTTTCTACATTCCACAAATCATATCTGAATCTGAAATTCCCTTATCCACAATAACATAATACTTTTTACTTCAAATGTGAGCACACTCGTTATCAAGCTCAGATTAAATTTCAGCAAATACCACAGACAAACCACAAAGAAAAGAAAAACTCACCACCCACAAAGCTTTCAAATCAAATCCACAATCAACATATACAGCAGCCGCCACAGACTCCACAATGTCCGCAAGAATTTTCGGCGCCTTGACCGCCCCACCGTACACCTCTGTCTCATCTTCTCCCTCAACCGATATAGCGAAATCTCTGACCTAAAATTGATCCAAAAACACCAAATCAGAAACTAAACTCAGTATACACACATACCACTAAATTCTCAATATGTACCTTCTCATCAAGAGCGCTGGCATTATGGCGGACATATCTGTACAACCCGTGTCGGACTGCGACCCGAGCGAGCTTCTCGGTACTGATATTGGCAGCGCGGAGGAGAGAGAGTAGGCCAGGCTCAAGGTCGGGGTAGGCTAAGAACACATAATTGGAAATCGCGAGACCCAAAGCGGCGTCGCCGACGAACTCGAGGCGTTGGTAAGAGGTGGAATCGGTGAAAGAGGAGTGAGTTAAGGCATCTTCTGCCAATTTTTTGTTCTTAAATGTGTAATTTAGAAGTTTTTCAACTGCCCGAATAGATGAAGCCATGTCCATGCAATCTTGAGCTTCGTCGTCGTTGCCTCCGGTGCCGGCGCAGGTGTACGTCATGATCTCGTAGCCGTCGGGTGTGACCATGTAGAATTTCTTACTTGAATCGGAGGGTTTTGGAGAGAGAAACCAGAGAGAGAAACCAGAGAGAGAAAGAAGTGGCAAAGTGAAGACTTCGTGCTCTTACGGTGGTGGTTCTTGATTGTGTAAAGGTATTCAAATTTATAATACATTATATCAAAAAGGTAATAATGGGGTGCAGCTCCTCTGTTGTGAGAAGAAGAAAATTTAAAAATGACATGATATATGAGTCAAAATAAAATTAGACACGAATAATATAATTAGTAGATAATCTAAAAATATATATATATATTTTTTTATATTCTATCAAATGAAATGTTACAAAATTTAAAAAAAATTATTAACACAATACATATAAAAAATAACATAATTCTAAATAATACTGCACAAAAATAACACAAAACAATACGATTAATGCCCTTAATAAACCAATAGGCCTCCATTGATGATCCCCTACAAGTTCACAAACAAAGAACTTGTTTGCTTCAAAACTAGTTCGCGTTACGGCCAAGATTTTGCTACTTCCAGTAGACTTTTAACCAGCCAAAACCACGATTTTGCGACTTTTTTCACCGTATTATTTTATAATAATACTGCACTCTTATCGTATTTCTCAAACTATAAAACTCTCTGTAAGAACAAAGTTTTCTTATTAAAAACTTGTTTTCTTTTGCATTGAAAAAAGTGAATTTATCACGCTTGCATAAAAATAAAGATTGTTTGAGAAATAAATTTGAAAGTTCTAAATTTCGACAAATAAATTTTAAAAATTACGGTAAATTGGTACACAACTCAGTTTAGTGGCCCATGTATGGTGTGTAAATTTTTTTTTTTTTTTTTTAAAATAAGAAAAAGTTGGTGACAAAATAGAACGTCCAAAGACCACCTCAATAATCTCTCACCGGTAAAATCATGAAGCCCTTAACCACATCCGTTACTCTTCTCAAGAACGAATTTAATTAGGCTAACATAATAATTAATTACTGAATCCCAATATAAATTCCAAGACTCGAACCTGAACAAATATTCAGCTGGTACCCCCTGAACCACTCCATTCGGTGATTGTACTGTGTGTAATCTTTAATTGTCGGAAGACACTTTTTTGTTGAAACAGCTGATGTTCACCAAGGAAGAGAATGGGAGGAGGAGACTATGTCAAAACCAGCACTTGGCTGCTTTAGGGTCCTTAACATTAAATAACATAGGGAGCAGCTCCAATCTCTCTTCTTGCTCTTACTTTGAGCTTAGGTTCCATAGCTTTATATTACAAAGTAACTAGATATTGAAATACATAACAGCCTCCAAGGTTTAAAGGTTCAGAAACTATAATTGAAAACAACATAAATACCCTAGAGATTTGAGATTAAAAACGGTGTATATGACATAACTGGAGTTGCAATCTCTTTCCAGAGATTTCAAAGAGACAAACAAAGCTCAAGGTCAGTTCACCAGCATATGATCAAATCCTCCCCCTGCCTGCAGACCAACCCGAGGCCCTTGGACGTTGTGAAGCAATTGCTGTAGCCACCTCCTTGTGGTTGGATCTTCCTGAAAACGTAAAGATGAACAGCATTTTAAATGGCACTCACCAAATCAAAATAAAAAAGTGTAAATGACTTGATGAACATGTCAGATGTCATCAATTTAACCTAACCATATAACAGACTAAACTAGAAGCCAGAATGTCTAATCAATTTCACTAATTTGAATCTCACAGAGGAACAGTCACACCACCGCATTCATTTTCCACAGATGCTATGGAGAGACAAACTAAGTTCAATTCCACTGAAATCTGAAATAAGAAGAATAACTTCATCTTGTATCAAGTCACAAACGTAACTTAGACCATCTCTAATGAAGACCCATACCCTTACCCAAATTTGAGTAAAAAAGGGGTAAAAGGTTTGATTTGGTATAGAAATACAAAAACTCAAATTTAAAAGAAGAGAAACCCAAATTTAAATAAGAAATTGAGGACAAACTCAAATTTAAAAGAGGATAAAGTATGACTATTGGATCTTTAAAGGACGGTGAAATCTCAACATTAAAGATTTGGTTATGAATTTGAGTCTTCCTTGATTTGAAAAAAAAAAAAGCCTCCCTTAATTTGATATGGGTATGGGTCTAGCATTGGAGGAGGTTTTATAAGAGTTTTTTACCCAAATTTAAATTTGGGTTTAAAGCAAGGTAAGGATCGGAGATGCTCACCAAGTCCCAGACTTGGCCTGATGCCCTGCTCTAGTGAAAAAAGTTGGTTTCCGGACATTAGGGACCCGAGGGGCTCCAGACAAGGAATATAAGTATCACTACATAAGTTTCAACCACTACTTACACGAAGACAACTACCAAAGGTGGCATCTCGTAGCATGTCTGGAAGGCAGCTTCTTAATGCATCACAAGCCCTGCATGCAAAAGATCATATATCATGACCTTTTAGATGTGGTATGCGTGTAGAGAAGTACAATTGTTTCAACTTGACCAACCTTGGATTATCTGACAAACGAAGGTAACAACGAATAATATGTTTCAGAAGCCGTGATGAGGGTTGTTCTGCAAGTGCACCAACCATATTCCCCAATACTCGACCAACTGCAAAAAATCGCTCTGCGGTGGTACATATATAATCCAACCCAACATCATCCAACAGAATTTTTTGAACAATAAATGTGGCCACCTGCCAGCATAAAACCATTTGTCAGACTTGTATTGTAAACTCAATTACAAAACTGGAGATATTCATAAAGATGGAACCAAAAGTTCCACAAAAGGAAAGATTGGGAACTCTTCTAAATTAAAAGATACCCAAATCTCAATTGAAAAAGAAAAAATTGAGGAAACCAATGGTAAGAAGAGAAATTCCAGCTGCAGGAAATCGATCATTTCAATTAATCCATCATAGTCAGTTTACCAGTGAACACACATTCGTGTATTCCATGCACATGTGGAGTCCACTGCTCACCTACTTGGCTCAAAACATGCATCTATAGCATGGGGAGCAACAACAGAGTATAAAAGGAACCAATAAGACGGAGGAATATCTGTTCAGATACCCAATGCAACCCCATGATGAAGTCTAACAGACTTTAAATTAGCCAATAGTTACAAAAGTAATGCTCGATATATACAAAATTTCACTATGATACATACACCCATGGCTGAAAATTTACACAAAAGCCATGAGAAACCCAACACCGAGTTCACCACCCTCTTGAAAACCAATCACTTTGTGTGATTCAAGAGAAGAATGCTTCAGTTGATACTTTTTCAGAGTCAGACATTCATTATATCGCACAACCATAGATTCCAATAGTAATGGAAACTAATATTACATCTACGGTACTTGTAACCCACTCATCATCTCCATAAAGAGTTTATAAAAAAAAAAAAACAAATCTAACCCATTCTTTGAGTTGAACCACATATGGAACTTTCTCATAGAAGAATCAATTTCTGAAATTAGTGATTTTCGATGTGTTAGGCCTAAATCTGCAGTAGATTCACATAAGCAGAAAATTCACTGCCACAATTGTTGAAAATAAACAGAAACTAGATGAAGACGAATGCATTCAGAAGAAACTCAACTGTTTTTGACAACTCACTGCCCATCTCCATTGTGCGCAGGCAGAGGGGAATTATTTCTGTTGAGAGAAGGAAACTAATAACTTCTGTATCATCAACCTATAAAAGAAGAGTATCAAATCTCTCAGTTTTAGGATCACACAAACCCAATGATACTGATGAACAAGATATAGACCTTGGTACCACCACAAGCATCTAAAGAATATTACAGGTACTACAAGAGGGAATGGTATATTACTCCATACTGAATGCAACATGTGAAAGCATATATTACGTGTGTTTGGCATCCTAGTCTCTCTCAAGTAATGAATGATTGTAATGTTCATGAGGCCAATAGATGCTTCACACTACCCACAGTGGGGAAAACTAGAATATGCAGGAACATAAACCACAAAAAAGACTACAGTACCTTCACCAGGGCACCAATGACACCTAAACTAGTAAGCCTCAGGTACTCAAAAGGCCTTGATTTGCTGGTTGTATTGAGAAAGGGGTATAGATACAAAGGAATATGAGCTGCAAAGGTGAAAAAACCAGTTAGAACAATACCATTAGTTTTCAATAGACTTCTGAAAATAAATCCACAATGAGAAGAACTAGCCACTGAAAGAATAGTCTCTATCTGTTGGCTTAGGTTTCTGAAGATTAAAGAAACATTTGTGGATTGGACAAGATACCCATGCAAATAAAATCAGCTCTATAAACTACAAAGCATTGCCCTCTGTAAAATAATTTCAATTATAGTCTCAAGTCGAATCAAAACTGTCAGTAATCCTGACTTGTAATGGTGAAACTGCCAGTTTGTCTTCAACAACAACAAAAAAGGTTTAAAATGCAGGACCGAAATTTAATTGAAAACAGAAAAAATTTGAAACCTGCTTTAGTCTAATTACATGCATGATGATCCAGTAACATAAGAGAAAAAAAATAGTAGCATCCATGAAATAAGTTTTTGATTGGTTGTAATGAAAGACTCTTCTTTCAAACGAATTTGAATTTCTGAAAATTCTTTTATATTTGTAGAACACACTTCATTTCTTGGTGTAAAAAAAGGATATGTGGTATAAAAATAGACGATCTATTCTCTCTCTTTTTTTTTTCCCCAAAAATTGATCTTGGAGCTTTTATGCATCATACTCTACTACAATTCATCAGGCTATGCAGTGCACTATGAGACCCATCAATACTATAAGCACTATATCAGCAAAACAGAAATTTTCCCTTTAAAATGTCATGCTCAAATTGGTGAAGCTAACAAAGCCTTGCTTTATCAATAGAACAAGAGATTTACCATTAAGGAACAACATTCTTGTGTCTGCGTGAGAGGCTACACACTGCAAAAATATGTAAAATAAGGATATCCCATTAGAAAAACTTCAAAACAAGGCAGAAGAAAATAAACATTAGAATAAAAAAACGATTACATCGATTACAGGCCTGGCCAGAAATTTCAAATGCAAGTGGCATGAAAATAGCACAGAATGACCTTATGACCCCAAATGCAAAAAGCCAATGCTTCTTAAATAATGACTTCAATAAAAATTACTCCAA